TTTGCAACTACTAATTCCAAAACATAAAGGATAAAAAGAAGCAACATCTTTAAAACTAGATGCCATATGCTGCTCATGACACCGACCTTATAGAAAATCAGACTAAATCTTATAAACTAAATGATATAAAAGTTGATGATTGAATTATTACTTAAGTGTTGATAAAAAAAATTATTACGTAAGTATTCATTAACGTGCTCATTTCTTATTGGTGACACATATTTGGTTTGCTAATTTGATCTACAAATTTAATCTACCTAGCATTACTCAGAACCGAATATTAAATGAAGAGAAAAATTGTCATTTTTTGGCAAATGGGATGTTCTACTACTCTAATATAGGAGGAATTTTATCAACTAGGACAAATCTACAAGAAGAGGAATTCAACCTTAGAAAAAAGGGACACATTGCTCTAACCAACTAACATATGATTTGTCATCTTTTAAACAATTATCACTATATAATTTTGTCATTTTTAAATAATATAATTTTTGCATCTTAGTACTATGGTCTCATGATATTCCTCTTCATTTTGAGAAGTCTTAGATTCGATGGATGTTGAGTTCAAAATTAATTTATTCCCCCAACTCTTAGTCTAAATATATCATTGTGTAAAAGATAATAACCACTAAGACCTTAAAGCATAATTAGAATTTTTTTTTGTTTTTAGCAAACGATAACATATGGGTTAAATTGTTAAATATTGGGGGAGAAGGGAATCGATAGGAATCAAACTCATACCAAAGTGCATAAACATTATTACTTTCTGCCACTTTAGTTCAATGCCATTTGCACATAACTAGAAATTTTTAGGAATAAACTCTGATGTTAATTAAATTAAAACTTGACTGCGATAGCTCATTAGTTACATTGGTAAAACTGTATAAATTAACATACACAATACCATTTTATTTTATTTTCTTCAATGGACAACATATGGTCAGATCAAATCTCGAAAGTTCAGTGGTCTTGATGGGAAGGAGTAAAAAAGAGATAACATACACAGTACCTTCTTGCAGCAGCAGCTGAGACAAATGAGAAGCTTCCCATATTCTTCAAAATGATTTAACCTCCTCTACAACAAGAGAATCATTTCCTGGAGGTGGGTACCTTGTTCTAACTTCTTTTCAGTAATTTAGATGCATATATAACTTCTTTTCAAAGCACACGTGCGCATTTTGTAGCAGACCATGTGGAATGCGGTGTTCTCATTTAGGTGAATGAGGTTTGTCTGCTTTATCAATAATTGAGATCCAATCGGGAGACGTCACGCAATAATAATTTGATTTGAACTATTCTTCGACGATAATTGAACATAATATATGCAAGGTCTATTCTTTTATTAGTATAAATTTTTTTCTCAACACGTATCTTTTATGTGATAAATTGTTAAGCCTAATACATAGACAACACAATTCAGATGACAAAACACATGTGGCCGTTAAGCTTCATACACCAAGGTCCATTCTCTCATTAGTATGAGATTTATCTTCAACACACCCCTTACACGTGGTGAATTGTTAAACCTAACATGTGGACAATACAAATCAGATGACGTGGAGCACACGTAGCCGTTAAGCTTCACATGTGGGGCAAACTGTTTTGATACCATATCGAAAGTTGATGTTCCACCATAAAACTAATTGGAAATATGAAACTTAGCTAAATTACTTATGGGGTGTGATATCCACACACCCATTTTTACTTGTCACACACCCCTTGTTAATTTATGTCCGTTGATCTTTTTCAATTCATCCAATTCGACGGCCGAAAACTAAAAAGGTGTGGGAGAAGTAAAAAGGGGTGTGTGAATATCACACCCCATTGCTTATAAGCACATGTAAGGTCTCTTCATACATCAATGTGAAATTCATTAACACTTGTAAATAAAAAGTTTGGGTAATTCCCACTTTACTATCCTCAAGTTTTGTCAAAATTGCACTTTCGTACACTTACCTTTTTCGTCTCACTTTCATACCTAAAATTTGATTTTTCTACCACTTTGGTACTTCTATTAGCCTAACGGTTCATTTTTTTGTTAACTGTTGACGTGACAGTATCTTGACCCACTAATTCTCACTTTACTACTTTCAAGTATTCTGAAATTCGCACTTTGTTATCCTTAGTTTTTTTTGTCTTACTCTTATAACTAAATTTATATTTTGCTCTTATATTCATAGTTCCGTTAGCCTGAGCGTCTTGGCTTCGTTAAAGCGTAACGTGGAGCTTGACTGCATAATGACTTTGTGGAAAGGTGGCACTATGGCTTAAGAAAAAAAAAATTAAACAATTAAAAAACATTTGCGATATAAAATTTTCAAATGTCAACTTTTTTTGCGGAATTTAGGTTTTTTTTTTTATTTTTCACGTGGCAACATTTGTTGCTCTTAGTGTTTGAAATTTTTTAATTTGACTAGAACTTATTTCAAAGTCTCCGCTTGAACAATCTTGTATACCTTGAGGGGCCCACAGTACCACGTTTTTCCATAATCAACTTCCAATCAAAGCCTAACATGGCACTTGGCCAATAGTGCCACGTTTCTGATAGTCATCATCTAATCAAGTGTAACGTCACACTTTTAACGAAGCCGATGGCTACCAGGCTAACATAAGCATGAATTTGGGAGCAAAATGTGCCTATGTATGAAAGTGAGATGAAAAAACTAAAAGTGATAAGAGTGTGAATTTCAAAATACTTTAGAATAGTAAAGTGTGAATTAGTGGGGTTAAGATCCTGTTACGTCATCAATTAACAAAAAGTTAACGATTAGGCTAAATTATTTATATAGTTTCGAATCATTCCTCCCTCCTCTTAATAATAATAAAAATTTATATAAAAAACAAACTTTAGATATGAGCGATTTTGACGAAACTTAAGAATAGTAAAGTAAGAATAATCAAAACCTAATGTTTACTATCTACAAGTATCATTGCATAGAAAAAATAAATAAATAACACTTCACACTCATTTTTTATCTTGAAACGTGACACACATTAATAATGGGAATTTGCCAAGACAGTTATTTGTTTTTGGTAAAGATTCTAAAATTATATACGTACACACACATGTGATGTTCAGAAAAATATGAAGTTACTTTTACATGCATGTGTGATGTTCCTTCGCTATATGGGGTCAAAAGTTGAATTTGTCCCCAAACCTAGGTCGAATTCCGTGCTGCCTTCAGAAAAGTCACCATGACCCATCTCCCGTGACTCATTTGTTACATCTCACTTTGCCTTTCATCGTTAAATATATCAACAGCCAAAAACCATCATAACTACATAAATAGCACGAATGCATGTCACTTCTGCAAAAAGTTTTCCTTTAAATTAGAGGGATGATGCCATTTACTACCACGTTTAATAATATTTATCTTCACTTGTAAGTAAAAAGTCTTTAGCTCGATCTTTGTCGAATTTGAGTTCAGTCCAATTAATTATGATTTGCTCATTTTGTAAATATATTGTCTTATCCAAAATAAAAAATAGAAACGGGAATTCTTTACTTAAGAAATGGCTCACGCTTATATAC